GAAAATTTTTGTGTTTCAGGAGTAAACATGAGGAAAACAAATCTTCTGCATCAACAGAGAGGAAAATTTCTTCAATTAGAAATATCTTATCGTCAAAAATGCATTGAAAATTATTTGTGTTTGTGAAATTGGGTCTAACAAAACTGTCACCAATTAAAATTCAAGGGGTTGACTGATCACGCTCATTTTACTAATAAATCTTGTTTATAGATCAATAAATATGATGATCAAAATAGAAAAAATCTTAGTTCAAGCTTAATTTGGTATCTGCACATTCAAAGTATAAGAAAAAAATTTTGGTTTGCATAATCTGTTTATCAAAGATTTTTCCTCATGTTAAATTATTTGAAATTAAATTTGAATGAACTTTTTCTGATTTAGAAATAGATTAGTATATTGTGACACTTTTGCTTTTACTCATTTGATATTACTTGCATTAAAAAATTCAATTAGATGTATAATATTTTTATTATATTTTGTTATTTTTTTATTTTACGTAAAATTTATAATTCTGTATACATTGATTTTCTAAAAATTATAAAAAAATAAATCATTATAAAACATATGAAATTATGATACGAAATCATCAATTACATATACAAACCTTATAAAAATGTATTATTTCTTTATTTTGATTTCTTATAGGACTAAGATAAGCATTTACTTGATCGCGTAACTTTCTCATCACATTCATAGTAATTTTGACCATTTCGGTCCAGTACGCTTCTTTGGAAAGTTATTTTCTGGAGAAGGCTTTATTAGATTTTTCATAATATTTATCTGGACAGGTGAGATACAAAGTATCGATATCTTCATATTTTATTCTAAACCCTTTTTTTGCCACGAATTCTGTGACAAGATTAAGGCTGAATTTTCCTGCTGAAGTAGTTCCTCCAGCAATTTGCGAAGAAAGATTGGAGATAGTAAGTTTTCTGCTTTCCATAAAAAGTGTTCATATATACCTTCAAAACTTTTTGCTTCAAATCTTGATAATTGTGATTGAAGCATATGGATGAATATTTTAAATTTAAGCTTTCTGAAATCCTTTTGCCTCTCTCTTTAGCAGAACTTATCAACTTTCCAAGTTGTTCTTTTTTCTTTCCTAATGAGCTCAGTCGTATTTTAAATCCACTCTCTTGTTAAATAAATCCTCTAATATGATAGGATATAAACCAATCGATTATCATATCTTACACATCAAGTATAAATGTCACGCTTATTAAATGGAAAACTAATCTCATATAGGGTATTCCTATTTTTTTGTGTAATGTCAGCATCCTTTGAACTTAATATAAATTTTTCTAGAGAGAGGTTATATGTCATGATAAGGCTAGAATATAAAGATGCAAAATCTAAACTGGTTATTGGCATTTTCGTTTCGATATCCTTTTCAGACGGAAAAACATATGCATCAGAATATTTTCCTTTTCTATATTTTCATATATTTTCAGCTAAAACAATATCTCATTTAACAGCATAAGCGTCCAGGAGGTTTCATATTTTCATTCCATTTGTGTGATAGTGTGTGTCAAAATGAGATACATAAGCTATAGAAACAACTTCTCTATAATTATTAATTACACTTAGTTTTACTAATAGCTCCTGATAATGTAATGTGTCTATAATGCAATAGTTAGCTACTTTACGTATTTTTCTTGCGGTTGATGAGAAGGAGCTTTTTTCACCTCTAAATAGATTTTTCACATTTTATTGTATGGCATGTCAGCCTTACTGTCAAGATCACACTTTTGTAAGAAGTATTTAAGTGAGCCTTCCTTTTCGACTTCAGAATGAGGGAAACATTTTTTGAGACATACCC